GTAACATCTTTGTTTGATTGGAAGAGAATCTTGTGGGTGATTAAGTGTGTTTTTCCCAGGATACCTTTTTCTTCAAAAGAAATTGTTTTGAAGCGTTGGATGATGTCATTAGCGATGTTCTTTTGATTAGGAGTTAAATGCTCATAAGGTAAAATTTTAATATCTTTAGTTTCGATAGCAGAGCATTTAGATTCTGTAAAGTTAATAGAAGATAAAACACTAGGTAAAAGATTAAATTTTCTCCAAAAGTCAACACCTAGTATTAGCGAAGGAAATATTTCAGGGAAAACATAAGTTTTAATCAGATGAGTTTGATTATTGAAATAAACAGGTAAGTCAAAATAACCCAAGGAATTTTTTTGATTATTAGCAGTAGAGACAGTAATAAGATCTGACTTGAGAAGTTTGCAGCCCAGTTTAAGAATTTCCAAATGAGAATTATTACCCAGAATAGTTACTGAGCTGCCAGAATCTAGTAAACCAGATAAATTTAAGTCATAAATTTTGACATAAACGAATGGACGATTAAGATCTTGTTCTTTGGAGTAGAGTGTAGAAGAGATTATGTAACAAGAAAAGAAGTTTTGAATTGTTTTAATCCAATTAATCCAATCGTCATTATCAAAGTTTAAGTTACTTTTCAAGTCAGCAGTTAGTTTTTTGAACTAGTATTAGGTTTGGGAGAACAAGTAGGGCAATCTGCAGTTTTAAAACCCTTAAGACCATTTTTGAAACAAATCACGAATCGTGGTTGAGTACCAGTGTTCAAAGTATAACCTTGTTTACGACAGCGAACACAAAAAGAGCTTTCTTGAGGAGCTTTAGTTTGAGAGAGACTATTAACTTGTCTAGAAGGGTATTTGTAGGATGAAGTGAATTAATTCATGAAAGGAGGAGAAGGTTGTGAGTTATTAGAAGAATTTGGAGAGTCAACTGAACTTGAAGTGGAATGCTTGTAGTTGAATTCAGAAATAAGAGGACTTTGTTGTACATTTGGTTCTTTAAATTGTTTGTCTCTGTCTAGGAATTTTTCATAGTTTTGGCAAGTAGCCAGTAGAGAGTCGATAGAGTCAATGTCTTTTAGAGCTACGAAAACTGAATAACATGGGCGAATATTCCTTAAAATAATCTCCAATTGTTCTGTTTCAGAAAGTTTCTTCGAAAGACGAGAAAACATTCCAGACATGATGGAAATATAGATGACAATAGGTTCATCTCGACCTTGAGTTCGATTCCTAATCGCTTCTAAAAGTTTGTGATCATAATCAAAACCACCAAAGTCTTTGATTAATAACGAGGAAAGTTCGTTCCACGTTAAGTTTGGATTCTGATTATATTTAAATCTGAACCAATGAAGAGCATTGTCAGTGAAAATTTCAAACGCTTGTGAAATCAACAAGTCTTTGGACAAGTCACGAGCTATACAGTATTCTTCCAGTTTTTGAAGAAAGGATCTTGGACAGCTTTTACCATTGAAGGTGTGTCTTTTCAGATCTTTGAAGACGTTGGTTGGAGAAAAAGATTGAGGTGGTGGTGAAGGATACGGGGTATGGACCTGAATAGAATTTTGAGAAACAAGAGGGAGTTCCGTGACAGTCGGATCAACCGTGACAGTCGGGTCAACAGGAGGGTCATTTTCAGTTGGAGCTGGAGCTGGCTCAAGGCTTCAAATTGTTTAGTAATATCGTCATATTTCATCTTCAAAGTATCGAAAATAGCTTTAAAGTCTGGATATAAGTCAGTATCTATTCGTTCCAATCTGTAAAAGATATGATTAATAAAAGTTTCTATTAGTCGCAAGTATTTGGTTTCGCCTTGTAAACATTTTTTAATTTTACAGTCCAAGAAGGTCAAGGTAGAATCAATTTGAGACAAGTCATCATCAATCGGAATTGGAGAAGTCAGAATATCTTCAGGGTGAGAATTCGCAACTAAACGCAAAACCTGTTTTTTTAGAAGTAAAACAGTATTAGCTGGTTCCTCACATCTAATCTTCACTTCGTATTCGAGTTCGGCCTTGTTAAGAAATTCGTACTTAATAACCCTTTTCATTGTTATAATTATGTGTAAAGTTAAGTTTAAGAAATAAAAATTTAATTAAAAATTATACCTCTTTAAGTTATCTAAAATAAAAATATTAAAGTAGGTCTAAATATAATCTAGATAAGTTGAAAAACTAGATGAAGTTTTGTTCTAGAATAAAAATATTAAAGTGATGAATGTAAGTGAAGTGTTAAATGTAGGTCTAAATATAATCTAGATACGTTGAAACACTAGATGAAGTGTTGTTTTAGAATTTGGAAGGTTATCTACAATAAAAATATTAAAGTGATGGATGTAAGTAAGAATACAATTAGATTATAAAAAAAAATAAAGGTGAGAGAATAGGGGAATATAGCGTTGAAGTGGGGCCTAAAAGTCGAAGCGACACACGTTGCGTTTGTAGAAGTAGGTTTCTTAGCAGCGACGGCACGCAGCGCCTGAAGCCAGCACACGCCGTTTGCGCTTGTAGAAGTAGGTTTCTTAGCAGCGACGGCGCGCAGCGCCTGGAGCCAGTACACGCAGCGTCCGGAGCCGGCGCACGTAGCGCCTGGAGAAGGGGCGCGCAACGCTTAGAGCCAGCAGTTGCAGCGCCCAAAGGTAGCGCCGGCGGTAGGTGCACTCGGCGCCTGGAGTAATTAGTAGTAGTGCCCGGAGTAGTGTGGCCCCCGCGCTTGTAGTAGACTCGAAGCGACTTCCGAGGTAGATGGAGGCTTGTAGGATTCCGGAGTGGCGCGGCCCGAGTTTGAAGAAGGCTTCGCCGAAGACTTCACGTGTAAATGGAGGCTTGCAGGATCCCGGGGCAGTACGGCCCCGGGATAAGGCCTTTAGGAGATACTTCCAATTCGCGAACTGAAGCGAGACTGCCTTTCTTCACCGATTGTTCGGCTTTTATACCTTTCTAGAGAGAACGGAAAAATTATTTAAATTATACGCAAATTTTTTGTAAATGGTCAAGAGAAAAGAGGATTTATGTGGAATTATCGAAATAGGAATAATAGATCGGTAGCAAATTTGAATATAATTACTATGGAAACGATATAAATAAGAAAGACAAAACATGTCAAATTTTTGTTTTAGGTTTATAATAAGAAAACTATAAGATTTAAGTGGAAAATGAGATATTATTGATATAGGAAAAAAGGTAGCGCAACTGCCCACACAAAGTCCAAGATTGTAGAGTTACGGAAAACTAGCTAAAAGATCGAAAAAAGGTAGACTCCATTGACACCAATTTAAAAGTGCTGATAATGCGAAAATACGAAGTAGAAATGATTTGTTATTGTGTTCTTATGGTTTAAAATCGTTACAGGATCCTATGGAAATAAAGGTGATGTAAAATATCCAGTTTTGAGGTGAATGCTGAAAATCGAAACAGAATGGAAAAATGAATTTAAAATAATGTAAAATGATACGTAAGTAGTATAACACTACAAAGTACCAGCTCTAAAATAAAAAAAGAATCATCGAAATCGGTTCACCCAGTAAAAAGTTATGAGGTAACACACATTAAAAAACATACGCGTCGAGTTGAGTACCGTCTCCTTTTTGGAAGTCGGCAGATTAACATTAACATAAATATCGATTCACTAAGGTAAGGTTTATAAAACACAACATTTATAATACCAACATGTTAATTTCATTTAAAAATAAATATCTCAGTTAGTTAATTAGTAGAAATAGAGGATTAATTATTTAATAATTATAAATAAAACTCGAATTGTTCTCCGATATGAAATGAGACTTATGCCCAGTGGTGGGAAGTAAATATAGTCTGTAATCTTTTAAAATTACCGATAGTAATTTATTTTGTTCAGGATTCGAACGCACGCGAAATGCCTAGCCACTGCACTCCCAAGATGTCATGATATTTATTTTTCAAAGACTACTAATTTTGATCTTTAGTAGAAAATATATTGTACAAAGATAATTAGTAAAGTGCACAAATCCAGAGAGGTTTCGTACATATGTAATTTTCCTTTTAAATTGTGCAACAAAACTTTATGTCGAGAATGTGGAAAACATAAAACTTATTGAAAAATATCAGACCTATACCGACCGACCGTGTAGTGGCGATGTAAGAATATTCATTACCCTATATCATCCCATGGGTGTCGTAAGAGGCGACAGAGGGAAACAAATTAGGAGATGAGCAGGACCGTCTTCCTAATAACGACTAAAATGAAAAAAAAACTGCGATTACTAACCCGCTTCCCAAGCCTGACAACTATAGTATCCCTCTATGGTATCCCCATATGGAGGCCTATGTTCAGCAGTGGACTTTAATGCCAGTGAAATTAAAGCCAGTTTCCTCTTGAGGAATAGAATGACGTCACTACGCTACAACATCAACAACAAGATAATGAGAAGATATTTATATTTCATTCATGATTAACATAAAAACAACAGTATATCATCCTGCCGTACTTCATTCATCTCCTGTGTCATGTCTCCCTGTCGCCTCTTACGACACCCACGGGATGATATGGGGTAGTGGATAAATATATAGATAGATAGATAGATGAAGCATTTATTTGTTTCTCCAATTACACACGTAAATTCAGTGGCTAAACTAGGTACAAAGTACGTGTTACAAAAAAGTTACATAAACTTAAGATCTAAATATACATATGTGTTACAGTTTAACAAATGGATCCTAACAGCAATTAATATTGCTCTGAGAGCTACCACTGATTTTCAGCTATTTCCCTCGAGATGACGAGACAAAAATAAGCCTATTAGTATAATCAGTGCAAATGTATGAATGTTGTTTCCTTTCCTTAAATACCAGATGTAAAGTACAGACCGTCAATGGTCAGTACCAAACGTGGCGGAATCGAAAAAGCGGCGCCACGGTTATTCGATCGCCAATTGGCTACACAAGCTTGGCGATTACAGCGAATTCATTATATTAAGATAAAAAAGAAAAGAAAATTATATAAATTTAAATATTTTTACAGAGAGCAATGGAAGACGACGATCCCGCCATACCAGCCGGTGTTCATGGACGGCTGGTCGCCGGACTACCAAGTGGATGAGCAGCCCTTGCGCAGGTGGGAACCTACATCAATTGGTATTTGTGTCGAGTAGTTGTATATTGTGTTGTGTTGTCCTGTGTCGTTGACGAGTGAATTCTCAAGGACGTCGCCACGGCGCGAGTCGGCGAGGGGCGATGTGCGGGGCGAGGTGCGGAGCGAGGCGCGAAGCGAGGTGCGGAGCGAAGTGCGAGGAGAGGTCCGGGGTGAGGGGAGGGTGGACTTGCGGGAGGAGGGCGCGGAGCGAGGCGACGCATATGGCTACGATCGCGACGAACCCGACCTTTACACGGACCAGTATGCGCCATACCCCAGGTATTTTCTTCTGTTCTCTAATTACTTGTATATTTTTTTTCTTATAGGATAGGGCGACAAACGAGCACACAGTCCACCTGATATGATCTTTCCTCAATAAAGGATCAAAATGCAGATGCTTTGTCACCCGTGAGGACTAAGATGGAATTTTCTACAAAAATTCCAGTAAGAAGGTTAACGGGTTCTCTACACTCACCATACGAACACAGCAGTGTTAAGCTGCTATTTTACGCTGGTATCCTGTGAGAGCGTGGCACTTCCCTAGTCGAATCGAACCATTCGTGCTACAACTATACTATTAATATAGCTGCAGCATGGCTCTATCACTTATTAATGATGTATTATTACCACAGATGGTAAAAAGCATTCCTGTGAGCACAATTGCAACTCTAATCAAAATTTCGTTTGTCATACATCCTTTTTGTCGGCCAATAATACCAAATAATGTGATTTATAATGAACATCAATTTATAAAACAAATCAGAAGTTGGGCAGCAACTTCTTCCTAATAACGACTTAAAATATAAAGCGTGACAACTATGGCAAATATCGTATATATTAATATAAATATAATATAATCTGTAACATTATATACCATTTTTTTATAGGATAAGGGTGACAAACGAGCATACAGTCCACCTGATGGTAAGTGGTTGCTGCGGCCCATAGACATCTACATCTACATTTATCCTCTATTATAAATCAAAATGCAGATGCGTTGTCACCCGTGATGACTAAGATGGAATGCCTCTTTTCCAGTAAAAAGGGTCTCCGGTTCTCTACACTCACCATACGAAACACAGCAAAGTTAAGCTACTATTTTACGTTGGTATTCTGTGAGAGCGTGGTCCTTCCCCGGTCGAGCCGACCCATTCGTGCTACAACTATACTACCATTATATACAATATTAAAAACTATAATAAAAAAAAACTAAAATTAGTAACTGAGTTATCATACAGTCCTACTCCCCGCGGTATCGTACCAAGATCGCTGGCTGCGTTTCCCCGCTGAATGGCTATACTTAGCCTTTGAGCGAGAAAAGAACCTGGAATATAAATTCCATGCGAATTTCCAGGAATACAAGATCGACGGCACGAGAAGACTCCGGCTCTGCAGCCTCCTCACCAGAACGAGAACCGCCTTACCGTGGCCCGGATCGAGATGATGGTAAGTAGTTTTTCTTATTTATTGCAAGTTTAAAAAAAAGGTTTTACTAAAATAAATATTTAGACTAGAATAATATACTTATACTAAGCGATCCGCCCCGGCTTCGCACGGTTGATTTCTGGATGTCGACAACAACGCGACCTACCGGGTCCAATTGTGAATCTAAACCTTTCTCGAATCAACTTAATCATACACACAAAATTTCGTCAAAATCGGTCCAGCCTTTTAGGAGGAGTTCAGTCACATACACACGGACAGATAATTTATACAGTGGTATTATAAGTAATATAAATTATTTAAGAAATCTCAAAGGTTCTGTCCTTTTTATCTTTTAAATTCAAACGCGTGGTAATGTATTATTTTAACTAATTGCTATTCATAAATATCTAACGCCTACTATTTTGCTACGCACGCACAGATTCATAAGGGTCGCACAGTCAGCAATAACGTTATGAATTGAATCGTACACAAAGGAGTGCGAGAGAATTTCAATTAAAAGTAGAAGCCTTGTTTACTCGTATTTACAAAAACTGCAATAACGGTATATAATTAATTATATATTTGAACTTAAATTTAAATTTTGGTACTCTTTGTAAAATAACCCTGTATTATATATAAAGACAGTTAATTATCACCAGCAGTTTAATCTAATAAAGACACCCAAAAACTCAAACTGATATTGTTCCTTACCAATCTGATGTACAAAGACGTACATAGTGAAATAAATCAAAAAAAAATTCTAATAATATCCTTGATTATTTTAAAATTTAATTATTGATGTAACCTCTTGTGTAGAAAAATACTGGCTTTCGATTGAAGTAAAATTACCCCATAAGGAAATTTCAATTTTGTTGTCTGGGCGGACACAAGTCACGCCCTTATGCGAATCAAGCCACCCCTTTTGTATAAGTAAAAGAGAATACAGTTAACCTAATCATGAGTGGTTACTGTGGATGAAAGACACCTACATAAGCTTATCTTTTTTATATTAGTCTGAGCAAACGAACTTGCGGCTCACCTGATAATAAGTGACTACTGCCGCCTATGAATAACTGTGATGCCAGAGGAATAGCAAATGCGTTTCCGGCCTCCTAAAAAGAGTAGTCTTTTCTTGACAGACATCTGCATCTATCTTCGTTTGCGAATTAAAATGCAGATGCATTATCAGCCGTGAATACTAAGATAGAATGCCTCTTTTCCAGTAAAATGGGTCTCCAGTTCTTTACACTCACCATACGGAACACAGTAGCATTACGCTAGGTAGTTATGCGAGGTGCAAACACAGGTGTATTATCCATTCATCAGAATAGAGAATGCACTAGATCAACGAGACAGTGAAACTACACGGATAGTATTGTTCGCAGATGATCTGGGCGAGGCGTGGGCGCGGGGCGTGGCGGCGCGCGGGGGGCGCGTGGTGCGCGTCACGTACCCGCGCACCGCCAACAACGACAAGGAGCTGTCCGTCGTGCGAGGAGAGTACCTCGAGGTACCACCACTCACCACTCACCACCACTTCCACTCACTATGAACATTACACTGCCTGTTGACTATTGCAGCCCGTACATAACATCCATTACAGTCTTTAAAAGTCCACTGCTAAACATAGGCCACTCCCATAGATTATCTTATAGGGAGGTTTTTGCCATAGTTGCCACGATGAAAGTTTAATATTTTGAATCATTATCAGGAAGATGCTGCTGCCCATCTTCTGTTTTAGTTTTCCCTTTGTCGCTTCTTACGACACCCACGGGACGGTATGGGGTAGCGGTTAGCCCACATGCAGCCCATAACCACCTGAATCACCGACACCGAGCACTTCATTTTAAATGTCTGGTACTAGTGTCCAATGGAAGCTTCGGCTTCGGCCACCTTCAGCAACAAAAACTACCTTTGACGAAACCTTCGGGCCGAAGTTTTGACCGTAGCCGATAGTTTCGACGAAGCGCCAAATTGAAAGAACTGTTGCGATTAAGAGACGACGTGGTGACGTGCACGTGGCGATGCAATTTTTGTCATCTCTGGCTCAACTTTAGAAGATGATTAAAATCGCCTTTTTATATTATACAGTCAATGAAAATTTAGAAGTTATTTTTTTTTAATTATTTATATTATTAATTTTAGCCAATCTCGAGTTTTTAAGCCTTCGGCTTCGGACGAAGGTTCTGGTGATCGCCGAAGTCAATTAATTGGTTGGTTATTGTTATAACAGCGTAGTCATGTTACAGGCGTTCTTTTGCTTACTAACTGACTTCAATCACTGTACAGATAATGTAAAGAAATAACGAAATAAATTATAATTATCAATTATTACAAAATATTTCAAATATCTGCGAGGGACATTGAAGTAATATGTAATTATTACGTACTAGAAGAGACGTCGAGACCGGACTCAAACTTACTCAGTCTGTGCCATTAAAAGGTACTCTGAACATGCACGCGCCCCTCACTGATGCTACGCAAATTTTGTATGCGGTGTCTGTTCTAGTATGCGTATTACTACAATGACTAGGGAATAAGTGCTAATAATCTTTCGTTCACCAGATGTCGCTAGTAGGGACAGAGGTTTTTTTTTTACACAATGGTATATAATCGAGAAGTTTCGTTTTAAATAAAATTTCATCAGTTTCCAGAGTATTAGATAAATACACAAAACAATCCTCTTAATGTTTTTCACATTTTTCTGACTCTTTATTTAAATTTTTCTACTTTTAGGAATATTTGTACTTTGGTTTATTCATTTCTAAACTATTGTTTTAAATAAATAAGGTTGACTAACGAGCACTCATCACACAGTCCTTCTGGTGGTAAGTGGATGCTGTGGCCCATGGATATCTACATTTATCCTCAATTAATATAGAGATGATGAACTAAGATGGAATGCTTCGTTCCCAATAAAAAGGGCCATACGAAACAGCAGCATTGAGCTCTTATCTAACGCTGGTGTTTTGTGAGTGCGTGGTCGTACCTCGGTCGCGCCGACCCATTCGTGCTACAACCATAATATAGCTGCAGCGTGACTCTACGACGTAAAAAAAAATTATATAACATATAAGCAATATTACGAAAAGAAACATTAACCGTTAACCGTCCTAACGAATTAATTTCCCCGCAATATAATTAGTCAAATCTTTCAGCTCGTTCCTCAGTGGCGCCGCCCTGGTAGCCAAGTAAAGGTCGTGAATGCCCTCATTGTTGGGTCGTACTGAGCGGGTGTTCTGTGCAGGTGCTGGACGACTCGCGCAAGTGGTGGAAGGCGCGCAACCGGCGCGGCGTGACGGCGCACGTGCCGCACACCATCGTGGCGCCCGCCTTCTCGCCGCCCTCCTCCCCGCACCTCTACCCCAACCCCATCTACCAATATCATCATCATCAGGTCGGTGACATCCCTGCCATTTCTACTATGTATCATGAGGTTACTATTGTACTGCTCGTACGGATAAAGAATGGGATTAAATATGGTGGCTCATCGAGGCTGTACTGCCACCCTACACAACAATTAAAGCTATAATTTAAAATTTAAAATTTTGTACAGCCGACTTCAATATAAGTTATTAATACTATTGGTCTGACCTTGGTCAAATTCATATGGGACCACACGAAAAATACCAGCTTTCAAATAAAAAAGAATCATCGAAAACGGTTCACCCAGTAAAAAGTTATGAGGTAACACACATAAAAAAAACATACAGTCGAATTGAGGGCCTCCCCTTTTTTGGAAGTCGGCAGAAAACAGCGCTAATAACGTTATATCGTTATGTTAAAATAACGATATTTTATCAAATAAAACATTATATATGAGAGGTCATATGGAAATTCTCAAAAAAGGAATAATCTAGTTAGTTTATTAAAATTTAACTATGTAAATTAATTTTAACTGAATGTTATAATAAGGAAATAAATAAACTTACAAATAATATATAATTTTAGTAATTAAATGGAATTAAATATACAATATTAAAAAACTATAATAATAAAAAAAAACTAGTAACTTAATTATCATACAGTCCTATTCCCCGTGGTATCGTGCCAAGAACGCTGGCTGCGTTTCCTAGCTGAATGGCTATACTTAGCCTTTGAGCGAAAAAAGAACCAGCCCTCGTTCCCTTAGGAACCTCACCGCACGTGGACCCCACGGACCGATAGTCTCTACAGCAAATGGCACAAATATGTAGTCATCTCTCAGATACTCACATTCGCGCCACTTACCCAGTCCAGCTGCCTCTGATGCCGCCCTGGCTCTAAACGAGGTAACCTTGAGATGAGAGGCCGCCAGAGTGTCTATGAAAGTAGCATACCACACTAGGGCTTTACCTTTCTCCCAAGGGACCAATGTCATACCGTCGGGTCGCCTACCATCGTCTCTAAATATTTCACAAGGCTCCAAAACCAAGAGAACATTTATAGAGACAAGAGCCCTTCGATGCCGTGAAAACCTACCAGCACTTTTCTTATATGAAAGTCCGTGGAGCCCAAACTTGTCGACGCTGCTACCACAGGGGCACTGATGGGGTTGACAAATCGCCACTCCTACTCGGATTCCTACGGCGATGCGCAGTAGGAAGTAATGTGCCGAGACTACTGGATGGTAAGGCGTGTAACCAGTGACTAGAATCCTTAGTCGATTAAATTAAATCTTTGAGACTACATACAACAATTCAATACCTAAACGAGTTGTACGAGTTGTTACTCTGAAATTAGAAGCACAGATAACGCGTGTCACAACGTATCATTTTTTGGGGTCGTTACCGGTGAGAGGTGAATATAGGCGACGCCATTTACAATCCCATTCTTTATCTGCGCGAATAGCACAGAGTTATGACTGTCGAGAGATGGCGTAATCACAAATCCATATACACGCTCTACCAGCTCAATAGCATACATCACTACTACTTCACGTACACTCATCATGAGTTTACTGTGTATCATAACATAAGAGACTAGTGTCTTATGGCTCTCAATAGATGGCGTTATCCATTATCTTTTTTATAGAACAACATTAACAAGCGAGCACACAGTCCACCTGATGGTAAGTGGATGCTGCGGCTCATAGATATTTACATTTATCCTCGATTAAAAATAGAAATGCTGATAATTATCACTCCCTGAGGACAAAGGTTGAATGCCTCCTTACCAATAAACAGGGTCTCCTATTGTCTATACTCACCATACGAAACACAGCATTGTTCTGCTGTTTTAGCTAGTATTCTGTGAGGTTGTGGTCTGGATAGGTTGAGTCAACCTATTCTTGCTACAGCTCAATAATCTATCACATAAAATATAACCATGTCGTTTACGATAGAGTAAATACCCAGACCGGCGACGGGTGGCTATATCAAAGTTGGGATACGTCAGACATTGGGGTTGTCAATCCATCAACCAGGCGTAACGATTAAGGCTCTACAACTGGAGAGGCATATACCCAGGTGTGGGTAGACTTACGCGGAAGAACAAGAAGATGAGTCTTGGGACAAAACAAATACTTTTTAAGACCACAAAACCTTTTCCAAATTACCGTTTTTATCGCTTACTTAGAACAATTCAAAACCTCGCAGAAGAGAGAGGAGGCCTGTGCCTAGCACTGGGATGTATATAGGCTGTAACTTTAACTTTAGGGCCAAAAACCCAACCTAAGTGGGCGATAAAAACTAATGAGTAAAAAACAATGTACTCCTGACCGAACTTCGATCACGGCGGCTAGTCCCAATAAAGACTAGCAATCGTTTATAGTGCACGAGTGTGTGCGCAAACACAGATGCACTCTCTATTTCCTCGCTCTTATAGTCCGTGGGACGGCGAGGTTATCAGGCGCAGAAGCAACGGCTTTACGTGCTTTCCAAGGCATGGGAGTGAAACGCTACCAATCTCCTGACTCCGGTCTATTGAATTGCGTGACAGAAAAACCCAGTTAGTGATTTCAAATTGAAGCGACCTATAATTCGAACCGGAGATCTCATGATCAGCAGTCGCGCCTGCGATCACTAGACTATTGAGGTCATGGGCTAATGGCTAATTAGCATCTAGTGAAAGTCTCACCATCATCATCATCCTAAGTTTTCACAAGTTCACTGCTAAACATAGGCCTCCTCCAACGAATACTTAAAAGCATGGTCTTAAGCCACCTACATCCATCGACTTCCTGCATATCAGGTCGGTACTTCACTTACCGGTACGAGTCTACCACTTTAGAAGCTTTCTTCGTTGTCGAGCTAGGCCGGTACATTGTCTCTTCGTCAGGCTATGTTGGTAATTCTGGTTCTATTACAGATAATACGTTCATTTCGATTTTCTCACGCAGAGAAGCTTCGAGAGTAAAATTCTTCATATTTCGCTGTGTACGTGATCTTGACCTTTCTTATGCAACCATCTCTGAAGGATCACGTCCCAGATCCATACGATATCATTCCTAGCAACACGTACTAATCGTACACTCTTTTGCGCTAGTTCTAGCAATATGTTATTGTTTTGCAGGAGGGCGGCGGGCGCGGGTCAGGGGGCAGCAGTCCGACGGGTGGCGCTGGTAGGGCCGCGGGGCTGGCGGGGGGCGGCGCGGCGCCGGGGGGCGCGGCGGGCGCGGGGGCAGCGGGGTCGCCCGCCGCTGCTGACTGGGTGCGCCGCGAGCGCCTCGGCAAAAAGGGCGAGTTCCGATACTTCTAGCGACGGCCCGTCTTTCCCACATCCCGATATCCCAACATCCCAACCCTACCGCGCTTCTAATCGCACTTTACAATGCATTAGTCTTTGTTTCTTCTTGTATGTAATGTATCTTACACAAAGAACATCCAAGAAGAAACATTCGACTCGAAGGACCAGATGTTTCCTCTTGGATGGTCAGAAGAATAAATTAAAGGCGCTAGAAATTATAGAAAAGTTTCTTCTTTATTTTGTCATTTGTTAAACCGTTGTCCATTCCAAAAAGGGGCAGAAAAAAGGGCCGATCGTGACACAGGTGACGCTATATACATAGTCACTGTGTTATAGATGATATTATTTCCAGTGAACGTGTTCCGTTATGAAAGGTTGTGTTCATAACAGTCTTCAATCAAACAATACACAAGTAGATAATGCGGCAGCGCATACAATGCATATAACACATGTCTTATTTGATAAAGAGATTTGTACTTTAACCACTATTGCATATGGTTGATTTGAATGCATTGAGTTATATGTACTACGTACTAGAGAAGCCATTCCAAACAAAAATTGTGTCCTACTCTATGTCTTCGCGCATGCGCGGGAGTAGTAGTCGCGCATGCGCGAAGACTTTAATTTGATATAAAATAAGATATTAATATAAAATAAATATAAGAATTTAATATAAAATATCTTAATTTAATCTAAACAAACATATTATATTTCTAAATAAAATGTAATAATAATTATTATTTTATGGAATTCACAAATCTTCAATTTACGCAATATTTAGTTTGTAGGGATTGCACTACAGTTCAGTTGAACATAGTCAATGTTCGGAATGGCTTCTCTAGTACGTAGTACATATAACTCAATGTTTGAATGTAAACGAAATGATTTTATGTATATATCGCTTTGTTATTACGGGTCCAAAGTTTATAATACAATAAAAATTAGTTTTCTCTTTATCAGTTGTGATTTTGTATGTGATCCGTTATTTAATTATAACTATATAATTAAACGAATATTATACTGATAAAAAGTATTCCGCGCTTATTTATTGATACGCACATGACGCTGACTGTATTTGTAACGTCATTGTTCCCACGCAAACCCATCTCCCCTCCCCGCTCCCGACCATCCTTGACCAAAGTGCATATTCGCGCGCAACCCGCGCAGTCCTTCTGGACAACCTTTAGTCATATTTTATAAATAGAAATAAGATAGTTATCTATTACGGAACAATTACTAAAGCTTATGGGGCATATTTTAAGTATCGGAGCTCGTCTCGGCGTATCGCGTCTGTGTGTGCATCACTGTTGTGTGTGTTACGCTGTCGTGCGTATGTGGGGATTGTTGTAGCTACATATTATGTGTGCGTACTTTCAATAGTGTGGTAATGATATGGACGAATCCATACGTATAATTTTTCATTTAGGATCAGTTTATTGTATATTTGAAAACGTAAATTTATGAAAAATCGTATGGCTTCCTCCCACTTGAAATTACATAGCTTTTACAGCATATCTGAAATTTACGAGTATAAGATATCTATTATTGAGAACAATGAGTTATCTATTGGCAGCTAAACATTTATTTGTAAATAATAGACCTACGTTATCTTACCAAGTGTTATTCTGAGTTATAATGTTAAAGCTATGTGGTTATAAACTTACGTGTGGTTCGATGCTTATGTGTGGCCTTCCCGCGGCCTCGACGAGACGCGTCGAGAACATTCTTCACGAATATATTGTAACAATAATTTAACATAGACACCTCTGCTCATCTATAAAGATATAGTTTGCTCGTTATGTTAGTGTTGAAACCGTGTTTTCTTTTATTAGTCGCCTATAAATAAAACTTTTGCTATCTCTATATATTGAAATGTCATCTTGTACTTGTTTTATCTAAGCAGATTCTATAAGCAGATATTTAGTTGTACTTAAATTATTACATTTATTAATTTACAAATTATATTCGATTTATACTGTAAAGCGATTTAGAATATTAGAAATGTTAATTTGTTACGCACGAAGTGGGCCCTCCGTCGAACTCAAAAATCTAAATTAATGTAATTATAACATTGAGTTATATGTACTACGTACTAGAGAAGCCATTCCAAACAAAAATTGTGTCCTACTCTGTGTCTTCGCGCATGCGCGGGAGTAGTAGTCGCGCATACGCGAAGACTTTAATATAAAATAAGATATTAATATAAAATAAATATAAGAATTTAATATAAAATATCTTAATTTAATCTAAACAAATATATTTCTAAATAAAATGTAATAATTATTATTTTATGGAATTTACAAATCTTCAATTTACGCAATATTTAGTTTGTATGGATTGCACTAAAGTTCAGTTGAACATAGTCAATGTTCGGAATGGCTTCTCTAGTACGTAGTACATATAACTCAATGAATTATAAAAAAGTAAAATAAAGCTAATATTAAAGTTTTCGCAACACTATCACGACCCATATTGAAATATATTTATGTATTGAGGACAAAATTGAAACAATACGAATATATTATTAAAAAAAAATTTAATTAAAAAAATCAAATCTTGCAACTGAATTTTAAAGCAGTTATCCTCATCCGATTGACCTGAAATCTTGCACACATGTTTAGTTTGGAAAACAATGCATCCAATATAATGAACCTTCTAAGATGGCGGACTAGTTATTTTCTAAACACTCAATTTTCTAAGAACAAAATGACTTTCGCGTTCAGCTCTTTGAGGACATGTTGTTCTACTGCCGGGCTAAACGGTAATTTAACTTTCAATTTTAGTAAATTATTTTCAAATCGATTTTGTAATTAATAAAAATTAATATTAAAATTCTATATATTAATTAAGTAAATATTTTGATAGATTTTTGAAAAAAATGTGGTAGCTATTTATAAATAAAACAAAAATCACATTTCATTATATTGATTTCGATTGCAAGGCCCACCCCGCGCGTTCTCTTCGTCCGTTTTTGTATTTTATATTTTTATAAATTAAAATTCTTTATAACACTCTGTTTTATTCTATTTATGCCTTCTCCTAACACTGTCCTTTAACACTCTGTTTTGAGGATTAAAAAACAAAATACAAAATTCACAATAATAATATTCAAAGAATCATGTGTGGTGTGCGTAATGCTTTGCTTTATGCTGTTGTGTGAGTGCATCACTCACTATCGCAGTATCGGTGCTAACTCTGTGGATATATTCACGGTACATAAATATTGGTGCATAATTACGGTAAGTTTTTCATGATATAAATGTTTGTAAAATATAAATTGTGTCTTTGGTATAAAATAATCATTGCTATACCATTTTGTGTTTAATGCTTTAAAAATTATGATTTTAAATCAAATAACGTTAAGTTTGTCATTTGCTATAAAATGATGTGATATTCAGGCGATACACTCGTCTAACCGTTCAACCCAACATTTACTCGAAATCGAAACGACACGTTTTTCTCACAGACTCATACTCCGTATCTAGACCATGCAAAATTAAACCTTGGTAAATATCTAACTCGGTTAAATTCCTATGATGTTGTGTCGATTTAACAACGAATTAATTTGGCGAGTTATGGATCTATACGCTAAATTAATTCGGCAGAGCCATTCAACGCGCTAGTTTGACCCTTTGAAACATCGAGTGTTGGAGGGTTTGTTGGTGGGGTTGGACGGAGATTTTTGTGTCTTAATTGTAAAAACGTAACTTCAATAAATATTCTATAACTCTATAAGAAAATACTGGGGTACCTAGTGTAACACAAAGTCGGTTGCGACTCGGCAGAGATTGCGGCGCCTCCCCCTCCCCCGCCGCCGCCACCACCGCCGCCCCCGGCGCCGACCACGCCGCCGCCACCGCCGACCATGACCGACACCATAAAGTGTAAGTTCCAAATCAATTCACACAACCCTTCATTGTAAATTTACAAACCTACAATCTGTCCATCTCTTCAATAAAACTGTTTCCTTTTATTTTATATTTTATTGAGTGGATAAGGGGGCTACTTTTCTGTCTAAAAACACATTTGTATAGTTACCACCCCCTTACCTATTTCTGCTGACAACAGGAGCCAGTTTAGAATTTGGTCCTTTGGGCCGGATCTTGTATCATTCACAATACTTTGTTGTAATGAAGTACTAGTTGTGAGACGACTGGTGAAGAACCATTCTCTCATTACCGAAACCAGACACATAATTACTCACACCGACATATTTCATCTCAGTAATCCAGCGTTACATCGCGCCTAAATATATCCATAGGTACTCCTCAATTCGCTTTTATGCAAAAAGTTAGATTAAGTGCTTTACTTGTATAAAACGTGTTTTATCAGAGACCTAAATTTTTTAGAGTTTGTACAAAATTATAATTAAGGATATAGTAATTTACGCACTTGCCATGTGATGGCGGCGATAAGCTTCAAAAAAAATCGACAATTTCGTCTCGTGGGGGTCGTTAAAGGACTAACTTCACAGACGCTCACAAGGACGGCTTAGTAGTGAGTTGTAGCGCTGGAGTCCGCAGGTTCGAACCCCTCACGGAACAAGTACTTGTATGGCCAAAAAATATAATTTCCCGTTCTGAATGTTTGTCTTTGTGCAATTTATGTTTGTAAACTACCTCCACGATACAAGGGGAAATCCTAGTGTGGGGGGTAATGTTATTTTTTAAATAAGAAAAGAAAGGTTCACTATGAGAAACGTCAAAAAAACCTTACGGCTTCTGTTTGATGATAGTGTAACTATGTCACTTAGGATATACCTAAAATAACCAAAACAGCGATGATTACCAAAGAATGTGACCATCAAGGTAAACGAAAGAGACTCAATGTACAGCAGTAGACTTTCACAGGCTAATTTAGAAGAGTATACGCCCTGAGAACTCTTCTTACTGAGTTAGATAAGTAATTGTTAATTCGTAACATTATACGTATTTTTTTATAGAATAAGTTTGAGACAAACGAGCACACATTCAACGTGATAGTAAGTGGTTGCTCTGGCCCATAGACATTTATCCTCGATTACGAATCGATATGCAGATGCGTTTTCGCCCGTGTGGACTAACACGGAATGACTCGTTTCCAGTGAAAGGGGTCTCCGGTTCTCTAAACTCACCATACGAAGCACAGCAGCATTAAGCTGCTATTTTACGCTGGCATTCTGTGAGAGCGTGGTCCTTCCCCGGTCAAGTCAATCGATTCGTTTTTATTTGTCCGTGTAAAGGCGGTGTAAAGATAATAATAATAGTAATCCATACTGCATATCGTCCCGTGGGTATCGTAAGGGATGACAGATTAAAACAATCCAGGGGATGGACAGCAACACCTTCCTAATAACAACAAAAAATTAAAACCTCCGTTACCAACCTACCTGCTAAGCGTCGAAACTATGGCAAATAACCCCTCGCCCCTTTGAGGCGAACTTTGGGGGAGACCTTTGTTAGCAAATAGTATTTAGTTGAGCATTTTATAAGTTTTTTATTAAGGGATCTTGCTTAGGAATTAACAAATAATAATCAATGAGACTCGATCCTCATTTCATCCCTTATTTCCTAAAAGTCTGTTATAAATGGCTAGTAAAATTACGTAGCCACCGACAGTTATACACCGGAAGCATCGTTGCGATATCGGCAAATCTTTTTTTCTTTCATACAATGAAAGAAACTCGTCCAACAGTCATCATTCCAAGTATTCCAAATATACGAAGGAGATAGAAACATGATCATCTCCAACCCTTAAACAATGAGACGTAGACGATTTTGGAACGAAGTTCCTTATCGCATGGTACAAATTTGGCGGATGGGGGCTAAGCGAGAAAAAGTGTAAGATTTTTCCGTCACGATCCTTTCCATAGTGCGAGCGAGATAGAATAATATCCATCTCCCTCGCACTTTTTCTTATCTTGCCATGAAAGAAATATTATTTTAAATGACGTTTCATTTTAATACACGCTAGTAATTCATTTATTTGTATTTGTCAATCAATAATATAATACGTTTATCAATAGTAATATACTACGAAAGAGACTTCGTTCCAACCGAGTGTTCCAAGACACTCACGCATGTTTTTTAAATTTATTTTTCCTGAAACGTGACTCCCAAACTAGGATTTTCTTCTGTATCGTGGTGGCAGTTTACATACATAAATTGCACAATTACAAACATCCAGACCCGGACCAATTAATTGTAGGCCATACAAATACTTGTTCCGTGCTCGACTCGAACCCGTGGCCCTTAGCCCCGTAACTCATTGCTAAGTCACTGCGCCATCAAGCCGTCAAATGCAAATGAAGCAGTTTAAATTGTTAGAAATACTATCGTATATTCATTGAACAATATAAACAACAACAAAAACAGAATTTCATTCATGTTGTTTACAGCGACGAAATCCATCAAGTCGACCGGCAGCGAGCTGCATGACGAGCTGAAGGTGGTGCTGCCGCAGATCCAGCAGCGCAAGCTCGATATTAAGAAAACACCGGACATTTTCATACACCAAGTAAGTTTTGCACTAAACCAACCACAGAGAGTAATTTAATATCGTGGTGGGGTGTTTCACTCTTACCCTGGCGCTTAACATTTATTGAGATCTTAGAATTAAATATTACAAGTATTTATGTGTTATATAAAAATAAATATCTATTTACTAATCTATATTTATTGGTATTGTTTCAAAGTTTTTTTACGGGGCAGAGCCACGCTGCAGCTATATTATGGTTGGGGCAAATGAATCAAAATCCAGTTGAATGCCTTGTTTCCAGTAAAAAATGGTCTACAGTTATTTACATTCACCATACTAAACGCAGGAGCATTAATTGCTATTTTACGCTGGTATTCTGTGAGAGCGTGTTCCTTCCCCGGTCGAGCCGATCCATACGTGCTTAACTATGATAAAGATGCACCTCGTCTCACGTCGAAGAAGGTCTTTGAAATGTCTTTTATTCAGAATGTCTTTCGGAAATCAACTTTCACAATTCAGAAAGCTTACTTTCAAAAGGACGTAAGCAACAACTGATGAATTACATACAAAATTTAGATTTAAAATAAATTATATATTAACGTAACCAAATTACTCGCAGAAATCAAACCCTGATGAGGTAGTGGAATGGCTCGAGGCCAAAGGGTTCAGCGCGACGGCGCAGAAGCAGATGCGTATGGCTGGTTACCAGCTGTTCGCACTGAGCCGTGGGCAATTCGAGCGCGCACTGGGCCCAGATGAGGGCAAGCGCCTCTACAGTCAGGTGCTCGTGCAGCGCAACGTGTCCGGGGTGAGTCGCCCGCATCCTTCCCCAGGTCTATACTGCTCTCGACTTCACTTCACCTTCACCTCAAGCATCATGTCGTTATTGAAATCATAAATTAAATCATTTTTATTCAATATAGATTAAAAAATACTTATTGAAAGAAATTTTAGCTTTACCAATGGTTCGAAAAAAATCTCTACCCTGGAAAGAACCAGCTAGGAAATCAGCGGATTTTTTTTAAATAAAATTAATTTACAATATATTATTTTATACAATTCGTACGAAAACATTTAGAAACAGCATGGTAGCGATCACCTCATTCTCAGGGGTTATGTACTCTTTAGTAGTATAATTATAATATGCTGTAGAACTATTTACGACATATATCTAAAAAACAAGAATGCTTAGACACTATGACTCCGTAGACTTTTTTAATTGGTGTATGATGTAATAAAATTAAGATGTATCTGTTGAGAGAAAAATGGTCCACTTGTAGGTTTCTTGCAGCTTCTTCTCACAAGGTCTTGACTTTCAAAATGTCGTCGTAAGTCTGAATTTTGAAAGTAAAAACATTTTGTCATTGAGTGTAATAACATATAGAATATTTATGTAGTATTTTAATTAATGGTTAGGTATTTAAATATATTATAGTTTTTGTTAAAGATTATTTTAATAAAGGGGACAACTGTTTATGCTTTAAAATTTCGTAGTTCGCGAGCAAAAACGTTGGTGTGTCAGTTTGATCCAATATACTGGCTGCTATGAAACCTTTTTAGGAGTTACTGGTGGACAGTTAGCTTGTTTGTCTTTTGATTGTTTATTCATGCATAATCTATCGTAAGTCCATTGCTGAATAGAATAGAATAGAATAGAATAGAATGATTTTTATTCAATATGGATTATTACATAATACTTATTGAAAGTCATTATTTTATTTACCACTGGTTCGGAAAATACCTCTGTCCTGGGAAGAACCAGCAAGAAACCCAGCGGGACTTTTTTTTAAACATAATTTCACTTGAACATAGACCTACAATCATATATTGCCCCATTTTCGGGAAATTCGCTATAGTTACTTCGCTTGGCATTCAGATTGGTAATTACATATAGTTTTTTATTATTATTGAGTTTATATCAGGAAGAAGTTGCTGCTCATTCTCTGTTTCAGTTTCACCCTCTTGCCTCTTACGACACCTACGTAATGATATGAGGTAGGTAGTGCCTCACAGTAAGCATAGCTTTCTTATGTACTTATACTCTATGGATAGTGCATTCTCTTTAGGGGCTGCTGCACGGTGTAAAAAAATATTTAATTTATATTTGCGATTGCTGTCACTTGGTTAAGCTCTAGCTTCATTTTTGTAATTTGGATAAACACTAGTAGTTTCACAAAATAAAAAATAAAAACATTGTTTACATTATCGCCTGCCAGTATCGCGCGACCTTCCGTGCAGACCGGACGGTTGGCACGTAAAAAAGAAAAATTGCCTAGCGCTTGATGGGTTATATACTAAATATAAAAGCGAACGGTTTTGCCTCACGGTATCATCTGTTAAACATTGAAACTAATGTAACTGTTTATCCTAATCACAAAAAAATATTATTTAAATTTCCTTTGATACATCGTTCGTAACGCGTACAGCAAAGGAGTGAAATAAGTTGCCAACATCAATATTTCCAACCGATTACAATGTGGGTGTCTTCAAGGCAACAGTGAATAGGTTTTTGTTAAGTCAGTGCGCTTCAACATCTTAGGCTACATCACCACTTACCATCAGGTGGGATTGTAGTTAAGCGCTAGCTTAAAATAGTAAAAAAATCGTGTATATTGAATTGCGCAGTACAAGACGACGTCTTCCTCGGAACTGCAGAGCATCCTGCGCAAAGTCCGCGAGAAGGTGGAAGTGACCTGAGCCTCTACGTCGGTTCCTCGTACTGCTGACACAAGTCATCCTTCATCGACAGTTACAGTCTACTATTTATTTCTTTTGCATATTACTGTGTTGAACTATTAAAGTGTTTTTATTACTTACGGTATTTTATTTCTTCATCATTCTGTATATTATAGCATAGTATGTAATATTATTTATCGTGTTTCGCCTCTAAATGAGGCATTATCAGGAGAAATGGACTCTACGATGACTAACCGCTAAGTGTCAGTAGCATTAACATGCTGTAGCATTATTACCTTTTATAGAATAAGGGGCTGCGGTCACAGACGGCACAGCGTGGTACAGCGCGGCACACTTAGTCGTGCTAAAAGATCCTGTAGCATCTCCAAAGGATCCTGTGTCATTTTGCGGCATTCCAAAGGATTCTGTGGCAACCACCTGTGACAGCGCCTCGCACGAGTCGCCCATATTGCCACCGCAACGGCCTAGATTCAACCTTGTTTCAATTACTTAGCAGTCACATTCCTTTGATAACATGAAGAAACCTATAGGTTTCATGTAATGCAGCGGCGTGCCGCGGCATCCCATGGAATGCCGTGACGTGCCGCAGCATTTCGAGGAATGACGTGACGTGCAACAGCATGCCGCGGTATCACGCGAGACGTTTCGGTCTATTAGTGTTGAAATAAAGGAATGTCAGTGCTAATTTCTTTAAAATAAGGTCGAAAATATTTAGTCCACGAAAAAAATCCTTTGACACACCGTGCCATGCCGTGCTGTCTATTAGCGCAGACCCTAAGTGTGACAAACAACCTCACAGTCTACCTGACAGTAAAGTGTATGTTGTGTCCCATAGACTACTACATTTATCCTCAATTAAGAATCAAAATGCAGATGCGCTGTCATCCCAGAGGACTGAGATGGAATGCCTTGTTTACAATTAGTAAAAAAAATCTCCATTTCTCTACGCTCACCATACGAAACACCCGCATTAAGCTGCTATTTTACACTGGTATTCTGTGAGTCATAGTCCTACACCGGTCATGGCGACCTATTCATACTACAACCATAATATAGCTGCAGAGTGGCTCTACCACGTAACGTGGTTTTGTTTAGTTATATATGTTATACGTAAATTTAAATAAGACATCACGTATACTGAACATCCTACAATAATCAAAAATTACATTAAAACACCATGTAGTGGCGGTGTAAATCCACCAAATCATATCATCCTGTGGGTGTCGTAAGAGGCAAGGGAGGAAAACAAATTAGGAGATTGTAATAATTGTATTTAATTAGTTATTAAAAGGTTATTAAGATAACTGTATTGAAACGCATAAGTATTGACACGCCATCTTTAATCATCTCTAGTGAAGTTCCCCGTACATATCATCCACAGCTTATACAAGTAAAGTATACTCACATGATATCTCCCTTTCTTTACTCAAAGAAACTTACAATTAAAGTATCCTATTTCAAGTTTTATTCAACTTATAATCCAACTTCATATAATAAAGTTGGGTAACTTGGTTGTTTTACCTGCCTTCCAGACCTTGTTTGCCTTATGTCAGTATTTACATTTTCAAAAGTTACTGACTTCCTATTGCTAGTAGTGTCATTAGACTGTATATTGTCATTGTCACACTGTATATTGTCATTGTCACTGCTAATGCCACTACTACCAATTGAATCTTCTATATCACCACTGTTATAGTCTCTTTGTCTATTAGAAGAGCCCTTGTAAATATTGTATCTATTTCTTTTAATCACCTTGTCCTTGCTCTGTTAGAATATTGTATGCTCTAAGTTTTTTTTTTCTTGTATTATTTTCCCCATAAGATTTTTATTTTTACTATTCCTTATAAACACATTTTGACCCTCTGTAAACTCAATTCCTTTTTGATTATTTTTCTATCATGATAATATTTGTATTTATTTTTCCTTTAATTTATTTTTACCTGGCAAAGAAGATCTGGTAGGTAACAAAGTTATTGTTTGTCTTCCTAAGAGTAATTCATTAGGAGACAAGTTAATTTCTGAATATATAGAAGTGTTGCGATATTCCATCAAGGCCATATAAATATATTTGTGATCAACATCACATTTTTTAAACATTTTTTTAACACTTTGAATGTGCCGTTCAACCACACCGTTGGACCTCGCATAATATGGACTAGATTTAACTAACTGAAATCCCCATTCTTTCACAAATTCTTGAAATTCGTAACTATTAAACTGTGAAGCATTATCTGTACATAGCTTTGTTGGAATACCCCATCTCGGAAACACCTGCTTTAATGCTAATATGTGACTTTGCGTGGATTGATCCACCATGTTTATAATTTCCACATATTTAGTTAGATAATCTACAACCATTAAGTATATATTATTTTTATAGAAGAACATATCAGCTCCTATTATATGTATATATATATATATATATATATATATATATCCCAGGGTTGTTTCGGTATGTCCCTTAGAATTAGGGGTTCAAATGAATGAGATTTTTGATATTTCAGACATGCTTCACAGTTGCTGATGTGATCTTCCAGCTCTTTATTCATAAATGGCTAATATAACACTCCTCTTATCTTATTTTTGCATCTAACACAGAGTAATATTTGACATCAGGCATGGCTGAAGTAAGTTCCTCAAAGGTAGGTATTTTATGACGTTCTCTTATGATACATTTGTTTACATTTTGTGGATCTAAACAAAATCTAATTTTATCTTGACTTTTTCTAACAATCACCATAGAATTGACCCACTCAGATGGTTCTTGAACTTTCTTTATTACATCAAGTTGCTTCAATCGATCAAGCTCATTTTTTACTTTATCCACTAATTTAAAAGGAATTTTCCTTGGTGGCTCCACTACAGGTGCACAATTGTCTGTTAATTTAATTTTGTATACATAGTTCAATTTTCCTAGACCATGAAACAAATCTTTGTATTCACCAATGTCCTGAGCTACACATTCCTTTGAAATATTTTCAACTTTATTTATTAAACCCAACTGCATGGCAGCATTGTAGCTCAGCACATTAGTAGTTTTAAATTTTACCACATAAAAGTCAAGTACATACTTTTGTTTATTGAATTTCACTCTAGTTTTAGTCATACCTACTGTTTCTATAGTTGAGCCATAAAAGTTTTTTAATTTTGTACAAGTTTCTGTCATTTATAAGTATAGTTTTTTCACTATAGTACTAGTCAAAATATTAACCTGCGACCCTGTATCCACTTTGAACTTCATCTTCTGTCCTCTCACTTTTGCCTCAACGATCCAGTCCTCTTTATCAACTTGGCCCACAGTTACCGACCCCACTACTAATTAGTCATCACTATCATCATCGCTGACACACACAGCATCCACTGTTCTGCACATCTGCATGTAATGTCCATATCGATTAACTTAGCACATCTCCTTCCAAAGCCTGGGCAGGATCGATCTCATCCACAGCTTATACAAGTAAAGTGTACTCAAATGACAAAGATGGACAACAGCATCTTCCTAGTAACGACTAAAAATAAAAAAAAACTGCTGTTGCCAATCTGCTTGCTAAGCGTGGCAACTATGGCAAATATCCCCCCTATGAGGAAATCTATAAAGGAGGTCTATGTTAGGAGTGGACTTTAATAGGCAGTAATTGATGGATGTATAGAAGATAATCTACCAGGAGCACATGACCCACTGAGAGGTGAAATTTTCAAATCAACAGTAACATTATAACTAGGGATGTGAAAAAATAATCGATTTTCATATTAATCGATTATTTTTTTCTTATAATCGATTTTTCGAAGCCGATTTTTTTTATGATAAAAATCGATTTTTAATAAATCGATTTTTAATAAATCGATTTTTATGTAAATTACGCGTTTCAATCGATTTTTGTAATCAGAGTCATCTGTGCGATGGATGTAAAAACGTGAAGTAAGTTCAATAATATGAATAAGTCAATCAAAAGACGGCGCCACCTTTATGTATCTCTCTATGTATGTAAAACAGTTTCGTTTTTCGTATGTTTTCAACAGGTTTCTTCCTCCGCTAGGAGTAAAAGTATTCTGTGGTTTTCTTTCTTTCTTTGGTTAGTGTAAACAATTATATATAAACAATAAAAATGTCTTGTGAAACGCGTAAAAGTGACTGACAAAAGTATTTTATAATGAAAAAAGAATAGCGGCCAGCACGTCAATAGGCAAAAATACTGAATTGTATCTATATATTGCGGCACCACTATCAAATCTCAAGGCAGATGCCCTAAATATATGGAGAAGCTCTGAAGGAACTTTCCCTAAACTAACCGAATTGGCTTTTGAACACCTCTCAGTGATGGTCAGTTCCGCGACAGCCGAAAGATTATTTTTGAAAGCGGGAAATATTGTCAGGAAAAAACGAAACCGTATTTTGGGAAAGAGACGAAGAAGAATTTTGGTGAAATGATTGTTTTTAAAGTCCAAATTTCATTCCATTCTTATATGGGGCAAGATTATGTGCCTTCAAAAAAAAGGATAACGGTATCCGTCCTATTGCCGTTGGTTCCACATTTCGACGCTTAACTTCAAAATTAGCTTGCAGGTACATAATCTCTAACCTTAAGACCAAATTTCAGCCTACTCAACTAGGTTTTGGCACTAGAGGTGGCTGTGAGGCGGCGGTACATTCAGTGCGTACATTTTTAACAAACTCTGATGCAGATGTTCTTGTGAAGGTTGACCTAAGGAATGCTTTTAACTCTATCGATAAGGTAACCTTGCTGAAAGAAGTGGCTAACAATACCCCCGAAATTTATCATTACGTTTGGCAATGTTATAGTCAAAATACTAACTTGTTTTACGAAAATCATGTTATCGATTCTGCTGTTGGTGTTCAGCAGGGTGACCCTCTGGGTCCAGCACTTTTCAGTTTGGGAATTCAACCCTTTATTTCAAATTTGAAATCCAAGCTGAATGTCTGGTACCTAGACGACGGTACACTGGGAGGTAGAGCAGATGACGTCCTCAGCGATCTTACTCATATTTTTCGAAATTTTAAAAATATTGGCCTTGAACCAAATAGCAATAAATGTGAAATATTTTTTTCCAATAATTTATCTACTTCTCATAGAGACAATTTAATTCAAAATTTTAATCATATTTGTCCAGGAATAAAAACTGTCAATACGGAATCACTATACCTGCTAGGTGCCCCGTTGGTTTTCGATAGTATTAAACCTGTTTTAAAAACAAAATTTGATCAGTTTTTAAACCACGTTGATAAATTGTATAAATTAAACCCCCACATAGCTCTTACTATTTTAAAATATTGTCTTCTTGTACCTAGATTTACATACTTACTCCGCTCGAGTCCAGTCTGGAAATGTTCGGATATTTTACAAGATATTGATAATAATCTTAAAATTGCTATAGAAAAAATTCTAAATTTAACTTTAAATACAACAGCCTGGGCTCAAGCTACTTTACCTATAAAATTTGGTGGCATTGGTGTGAGAAATCTTTCTAGCGTTGCATTGCCTGCTTTCCTTGCTTCCGTGCATAGTGTCAGTGACTTATGTAACATAATTTTAAATAATAAAGTAGACCTATGCTTTGCTACGGAGGCAGGGCAGACATGGCAAACGCTCTGTCCTGGTGAAAATATTCCACTGGAAGTTAACCAACAAAAACAGTGGGATATTCCGTTGGTACAGGGCGTGCAGAAGGATTTGTTTCATAATTTCCATAGTGACCAAGATAAGGCACGCCTTCTAGCTGTTTCGACTAAGGAATCTAGTCACTGGTTACACGCTTTACCATCAAGTAATCTCGGCACATTACTTGATAGGGAAAGCTTGCGTATTGCCGTAGGAATCCGACTAGGAGCGGCGATTTGTCAACCCCATCAGTGCCCCTGTGGTAGCAGCGTCGACAAGTTTGGGCTCCACGGACTTTCATGTAAGAAAAGCGCTGGTAGGTTTTCACGACACAGTTCTTTGAACGATGTCATCCGAAGGGCTCTTGCCTCTATAAATGTTCACTCGGTTTTAGAGCCTTGTGGAATATTTAGAGACGATGGCAAGAGACCCGACGGTATGACATTGGTCCCTTGGGAGAGAGGTAAAGCCCTAGTGTGCGATGCTACTTGCGTAGACACTCTGGCGGCCTCTCATCTCAGGGGTACCTCGTTTAAAGCCGGGGCGGCATCAGAGGCAGCTGAGCTGAGTAAGTGGTGCAAATATGAGTCTCTGAGAGATGACTACATATTTGTGCCATTTGCTGTAGAGACTATCGGTCCGTGGGGTCCACGTGCGGTGAAGTTCCTAAAGGAACTCCATCCGCGGCTGGTCGTTGCTGCTGGTGATAAGAGAGCTGGTTCTTTCCTCGCTCAAAGGCTAAGTATAGCCATTCAGCGGGGAAACGCAGCCAGCGTTCTTGGCACGATACCGCGGGGAGTAGGACTATATGATAATTAAGTTACTAGTTTTAGTTTTTTTTTTATTATCATAGTTTTTAATATTGTAGATAAAATTAAGTATTATGTAAAAATTTTTAAAGTCTAACTGAAAATTCAAAGCAATATTTTTTTTACTTTTTTTGTTTACACAAGTTTAAAAAAAGATTTGTCTTGTATTTTAGTTTTGAGATCAAAAGGTTGTCGTCGGATTATTTATAATTATAATTATATTTTATTTTCATTCTAATCCAATGTAAATGATACTGAACATTAGTGGCATAATGATATTTAGACTTTTTGTTTGTTCAAACTTAGTTTAAAAAAATACTATCGCTTACTAAAATTATGGTTTCTTTATGATTTCTTATATTTACGCGAAGACTACACATTAAATAAAATTATTTTTTACGGATTTGATCACGCTTAATTTAACTTTTTAATTCCTGACGTTTCCGGTGCTTCGCAGCACCCAAGGTCACGGGAGGAACTGAGGTCTATGACGTCCAGATGTCATAGTTAGCCTGGCTAAATTCAGTTTTTGAATATTAACTTTTGGTCCGATCTACGCAGAATGAGCTTACAGTATCATGAAGTCTTACAGTGGTATGCTTGGGTTTAGATTTAATTTTATTAATTATAGGATGCCAAGCAGATGGCAGCACCCATCCATCTTCTCTATTGAAATTAGGATGTTTTTTAATTTCGATAGCCTCGCGAATCATCCTTGGTAGGAATCGGTGTTCTTTTGCGAGGATTTGTGGTTCAACTATGACAGGGATGGCGAACCTTTATGTATCTACGTGCCATTTTCCAAAGAAATGTAGAAATGTAGTAATGTAGTAGGATAGGATCACTCGTGTTCGTTCCTAATATAATAGTTCGTCATAGTGAACTTCGTGATCGGTGGCGTGCCCAAAATATTGTGTCGCGTGCCATCGATGGCACGCGTGCCATTGGTTCGCCATCCCTGAACTATGACATAGGGACATCAAACACCTCAGTCCCCTCTGTGACCATGCGTGCTGTAAAGCACCTGAAATGTTGGGAATTAAAAAGTTAAATTAAACGCGATAAAATCCGTAAAACTTAGTTTAATTTATCGTTTCTGTTTATATTGGTTGTAATAAATTGTTAAATGGCACTGAACATTTGTGGCAGTAATTATTTTTAGTTTTTTATTGTTCAAAGTTATATATTAAAAAAATTGTTCTGTAGTTTATTTCTAAAACCAGAAGATTATTTTTCGAATAAAATTTTTTTTTCGCAAAAATCGATTATTTTTTTTTATAAAAAAATCGATTTTTCTTAAATCGATTACTATCACAAAGCAAAAAATCGATTTTTTATTAATCGATTTATTTCACTCAATGTCACATCCGTAATTATAACTATGACAAATATCCTCCCTATGAGGGAATCTATGAAAGAGGTTCGACAGTGGACTTTAATAGGCAGTAATGGATGGATGTATAGAATATAATTTTAAAAGATGAACGCAATGAAACAGTTAATGTGTCATGGGCCTTAACAAACAACTCGCCACATTCATTCATATCATACTACACTGTTCCTGGTAATTATTACTAATCATATTATTAAACACTCAATCAGTAATTAAGTTTTAGTGACCTATTATAATACTAACTCACTACGCAAATCTTAATGTTTTTAATTAATAAGTATTTTCTCTGTAATCTTTTGAGAAAATAAATGTCTTAAACCGTAAACCATAATCTACCAGGAGGACA